TTTTAAAAACTACACACAGTTTTAAAGTAGAACTTCAATATTACAACACATTAAAAAGTTCACTAAAGTCATTTGAAACGTAATGTAGCGTGCATTGAAATCGCCCTCCATACAATCATTGAAACGCACGCACTACGCAACAGAGAGCTTTATTACGAGAGCTATAAAGATGAAAACAACGTGAAAACACAAAGGTGGGGCTTAGTGTACCCCTTTATATGAAGGGAGACAAATTGAAGAGGCGACGATCAAAGTGAGAATGAATGGCGAACAAAATTACTTGCGCATGCGACTTGTAATTCTGACATTTGATTTCTTTATTCAGCCCTTATAAATCAACGGACGCCCGCCGCTCCCGACTTAACATGTAAAGAAAGATCGCCTATAATCTAAAGTAATTTGGTGATTTTTTATCATGCCAGTAAGTTATAAGAACTTGTTTGTTGGAACTCTTTGGTTTTTGCGTCATTAATATTCGTGTCTTGTCAATGTTTTGTTGTAAGATAATTTTTATAACTAATATGTGATCAAAAATTACTTGCAAAAAGTTAGCATAATGTAGAGGGGAATAATATATTCATATTCCTTTATTTCCATGAAATGAATTTTTCTATCCCTATTCAAACAGACTGATCACAGCTGGGCGCACTCTCTGTGTTTCATTCACCCCTATATTTGAATATTAAAAAAGATTTTTAGAAGCTAAACCGGGCTCTTAATTTATTAAAACAATACGTGTGAAAAATATTTTGTGGATGAGACCGTTTAAAAGATTTATGTTTTAAAACGCTCAAACGAAAGACTGTACCTAAATGTTAAATAAGATAATTTATAACCAATTTTTTTTATAAAAAACGAACTTGGTGCTCACCGAATCTCAAACAAGTAAACACAGCCGAATGTGCAAATGATTTCAATTAAATAACGCGAGTACCGGTTGCAGATTCAGACGCGATCTCCCACAACGACGCAATTATCGGTGAAATTTCTGAAAAGGATAATATTTATTTCACAAAACCATAAATAAAAACGATCGTATCGGTTGAGATGTGAAAATAAGATAAGTGCGTCCTCGATTCAATTGGCCCACAATGATTTTTATAGGAAAGTAAAAAATATGACGGCAGGTCTGCATTTTATAATTGAAATATAATATATTGTTTTATTTTATCCCATATATTTGAAATTAACATAATTGAGAAGGGTTTTTGTTAGGTGATGTCAGCACTAATGTCTCTGTATATAACCTCGTTCGTAATAGGCTCTTCGGAGTCCGCCTCGAGCTGTTAATACACCATTTAATGTAAGGCAAGTCCATTAACCGTGAATAATTTATTTGAAATGTTAATTCCTATTAATATACGGACATACTTAATTAATTAGTTTTGATTGGAGTTATACATCTTGGTCGAGGATTAAGCTGATTCACTGTTAATTATTCACCAGCGAAATACATTGTCAGTGAATGTATGAAATGAAAATTATAATAAACCCCGCCGTGTAACATTCTTTTGTGCATCGGCTTTCAGTGATTCAGTTATTCTATAAATGATTTTTTCATTCAACTACGCATCCTTCAATTTTTGGTTTCCAAACAAAAACAATCTCTTTGAACGCTGTCAACGTTTTTATCAATTAGTTTATTTGTGTCATTTCATAACAAATGAACATTCGCTGGTTTATATCTAATGGTATCGCGTGTAGGCTTAATATGTAGTGACTCCAATTTCAGGTTCAATCCCCAAGCGGCAAAATCCTAGCTGACCCAAATCGGTGTGGACAAATCTTGTTATTCTTGTTTTGCGCCCACTACGATTTTCATATACGTTCGCAACTATGATTAAACGAAGTTGACATTTCAAAAATATACCGGCTTATCATTGAATTGTTTTTAGTTATTTCTATATATGGTATTATTTGTGAATAACTATGACGTATGGCTCACAGTATAACGTTTTCATATTCAGACATAAATTTATTACGTTCAAATTGTCTGCGTTATTTGCAAACTACTCCAACGGGAACAAAGATTTTAAAAATCCATGTAGAAAGATATGAATGCAAGTCTGCCGCTTAGCAAGGGTTGTCAGAACGGTAATTGACTGGCAAGTGGCGTAAAAGTGAATCTGTAGCTTCTCAGATCTCGAGATCGATCGATACTCTTACAGCGAACTTTTTCTTAAAGCCCCGTCCTATTTTTAGTTTCAAAAGATTGGCCGTCTTTGTATTGCAAGTTGACTTCGATGGAAAAAATAATTGCTTCCAATGTTCATTCCCACAACCCTTTATAATATATTCTATATAAATTTAAATATCATTTCGAAACAAATAATGTTTAATATGGGTTTGTGTTGTATAAGAATATTTTTAGATATTCTTATACAACACAAACCTATAAAAATACCTATAAACTATTTCAAAATATAAACATATTAAAAACTGTTAAGTCTTTATCTTAAATAGGATATGCATTAAAAAAATTACCCTGCTATCAAATCATAAGTTATAATCTGAAGAAATATATAATTAATATATAAATATTAGAATATACATAGTAGGTATTCGTTATGACTTAACTGTACGCTGAATTTATTATAATAACTTTATTATTACTCAAACATGTAAGAATGGATAATTGCACAAATAAACCGGTTTAAATGCAAGTTCATACTTAAATTATTAATTATATGTTTTTTTATATCAGATACCGTTTTAAACGAGATTTCTTTGAAACAGGACTTCTTTGTTTCCGAAGCATGTGTACATCTGTATATATGTATGTGTTTGTATAACAGAATAAATTATAGTTCTTGTATATTACATAGCATTCACAACAAACAGATATTAATTTTATTACTGGATTTTGTCTGAAAATTTATTTATTTTTCTCTCTAGTCGTTACACTTATAACACTAAACCTAGATCGCATTTGTTTAAGATATAAGAAAAAACAAAAATACACCAGACGTATATAATTTCGAAATAAATAAACATTTCAAATTAAACGAAACATTAAATGCAAATGACGTTATTGTAATAACAAAGAACGTCAACATTTAGTATTGAAAATTGAGGTAAACGTCGCGGTTTTATCCATTTATTAAATAACATGATAAAAGCCGACTCATCTCTTAATTATCGCTGCCGAGTGTAAATCATCCTTCTTAGTCGCAACCGCTAGCTTTACTTGATAACTTATTATAATTGCATTTTCTTTAATAATAATAAATCAGATATGTTGCTCCGCTTTGAACCTGTGATTTACTGTTCTGGACTGGAGCAAATTATTGTATGCTTTAATATTTCATAATGTAAGAATAGTTCCACTCCTAATATTATAACTATATTAAAGTTAATAGATTTGATATTCCTACTTATTTATATAGTCTTTTTGGTGAAGCATCACATCTTTAATGACAAAGACATAACAGTTTTATAAAAACTCAAGTAAAGCTTCTAATTACTCTTAATTGTAAATCCGATACTACCAAAAAATAAATTACTTAAAATATTTTTTGGATGATATACAAATGAAATTTAAATCTTACATCTTAACCTTTTTCTTTTATATTGAACATTTTTATCTGAAACTTGTATATTGAGTAATCATTAATCTTTATGTGGAGGTTTTTATGGATATTACTTTTTTACAGCTTTAACGGTCGATTTATTTATATTTTTCTTAAAATTTGTACGTTATATTTATTCTCGTTTAAAGCTCGATTGACCACAATCGATTCATATTTGCGTCATATAATAGAATACGAATAGTGTGATATTTATATCAAAACAATGGCCAATAAGTATACATACTTCATCTTTTACAACACAATAGGTTCTGAACGTGACTTCATTGGTGTATGTGTTTTGCATTTCTTTTACAAGATTTTTAAGGTACTAACACATCTTAGTAAAATACACAGAATACTAAATTTTTTGTCTCCTTTTAGACAAAAGGTACATAAAATTTTATTTGTAAAGTTAAATCCTGTCAGTTACTTGTATGTTTCGCAAGTGACATAATACTTTACATTAATTTCATATATGAGAATATAACAACTATGTAGGGTGCAATACATCAGAAACAATTTCGTGTTTAATTATTCTATAAGGATCAAATCTAAATCCATTTTGCTTCGTGACTTGAATACACTAACAAATATATTATTATATGAAACTTACATTTCAATTTAGTCGTAATCCCACAGATGATTATTATTTAAACAATAGCCATAATAAGAAAGGTTATTTAAAAAATAATAAATTGATAGTCTAATGCTTTTAATCTTAAAATAATTTCGACACATGTCTACCAGACATCGATCTATTATTATATCAGTGGTTATAAAACACATGTTAGTTTTATCTTTAATCTCATTTCGTTAACACCCGTCCCTAAAGTGGCTTCGAATTACTTATTTTTTATTTTCTATATTTAATAGCCCTTCAAAATGAAACGATACAGATATTCCAGATGACTTACACAAATATTTGGAAATGAAATTATTTGCCGCGTATAGAAAATAAACTGACATTGGAGTCGTGTCGTGGAATTGTATTGAATTTTGAAATTTATGTAAAAAATATAGGTACATATTAACATACATAGGTCTGGGACGAATTAATTATCAGTTCGTATTTGGATATCCACCAAACGGTTTCAATACTAGCAAGAGAATTAGACATATAAATTATATAAATACAAGGCAACATTGTAACATATGAACATGGCTTTTGTAAACACATGTACATCAATATTGTTCTAAGCTCTGATTGCTTATTTTACTCATTTTAATTTATTTCCATTGCAATGATTCTGCTATAAGTTAGGAATATTATTATTAATGTCATTGTTATTTATTATAATTATTAGAACTTGAAAGTTTTATTAAAAATTCTTTGTGTATATATTTTTATTTATGATAGTTTTTTTTTGTTACAGGATGTGAACAAGACAGTTGTTTGGTCTAATTCCAAAATTCATATGACTACAACCGACAATGCGGTCACAAGCTGCAAAACCCTTACCTAAAAAGGGACCTTTGGCTAAAACATCTTTTAAAGCTAGTACCGCTACAAAACAAGTTAAGAAAAAAGCAGTAGCAACCAAAAAAGTTAAAACACTTCAAAAATCAACAACAAAAAGTGCAAAAAAGAATACCAGTGACGAATCGTCCAAAAAGGACAATGATTCGTCAAATAAAGAAAAAAATGATTCCACGTCGGATACTGAAAAGGCTGGACCTTCCAAGGCGATTAATGTTAGAGAGGAATCTCCTATGAAAAAAGGAAAAAAAGACCCGAAGGAAGCAAAAGACAAGAATAAAGTTGCCCCTAAGAAAGTTCTCTCAAAAAAACCTATTAAATTAACAAAAAAGGCCAACCCCGCAGTTAAATCAAAAAAAGACAGTGATGAAGTAAAGTACAAAATAAACTTAGAATCTGTTAAGAAAACTTCAGCAAAAAATCCAAAAGCCAAGACAAATATTAAAAAAAGCAATACAGGCAATCAAAAAAAGAAAAGTAGTGTACAAAGTAAGGAGAGTGAGGTAAAAACTGTAGACAAGCATGATGAAGAAGAAAAGAGTTCTAAAGATAAAATAAAAGATTCTTCGAATATTTCTACCATAATTGAGAATAAAGAAGACAAACCTGATATAGATAATCCAGAGTCTGATAAGAAATCAGAAAAGAAAGAGGAATCCAACAAAACTCTAAAGTGTAATAGCAATTTCTCGGATACAGCATATCAAAGTATAACAGTTATCAAAAGCTCCAATCAATCAGAAACCCAAAAAACTGAAACAGAAAGGCCTCCAAAATTTTTTACTTCCATCAGATCTCCGAGAACAGTCGATATAGACGTTAAATGCTGTAAGAATTCTAAAGGAAATTTGAGTGTTTCTGAAAGATTTATATCTCTTAAATGTGAGAGTAAAACTGATGACCTTAACAAAGATAAAAATTCGTCTAATAATCTCGTATCTCAAGGTCCAGAAATAGACGTTTATACTTTCACAGAAAAGGTTGATTCACCAAAGAGCATATTATCTGATTTTAGAAATCCGATAAATAAAAACATTGGAAGAGTGCGGCCAATTGCTAGAGTAAAAGGAACCGTTATAGATAAAAAATTAGATAATGATAGGAAAAAGTTCTCTCCACATAGACCCATTGAGGAAGTAGTGAAACAACTAAAGGCAAATAAAAGAACAGAAGATTTAAGCTCACTGTCGAAAAATAATACAGCTGCAAGTTTGGACTTTAATGTTTTTAACGATGAAAAAGAAGAAGTGCAACCACCTATTGTGAGTAAGTCATACAAAATGGTTGCTAGAAAGTCTAGTATAACTGGAAAACCATTCAGCCCTATTAAATTCCTTGACCAAGATTCTCCTTCAAAACCAGAAGTAAAGACTCCAACGAAAGTCAGCAATACCAAAAAAAGTGTCAGCAGATCTAAGAAACAACGGAAAAAAAGTACTTCATCAGATGATGAAATGAATACATCAACTTTTGCACTCAATACAAAAACATTTCATTACACTTCTTCAGAAGAAAGCGTCAGCGAATCAAATGATGATAATGATCAAGTAGAATCTTCCGAATCTAGTTCCTCGAAAACTAAAAAGACAAGGAATAAAAAGTATAAGAGGATAACCGATAGTGCTAAGAAATCAAATTCTAAGGAATTGAAAGAATTGTCAAAAGATTCCTTGATTGATATCAAAGATACTTCTGCGTTACTAGGAAATGAAAAACCTAGCAAAAGGCGGCTGAAACTCTTATCAATGTGGTCAGGGCCGAAGAAACATAGAATGGCCTCTCTTAATGCTCTTGCAAAAGTACACTGTTTATACGAAAATGAAAGCAGAACTCATATGGAACTAGGTCTAATGAAAACAGTTGATAGGCAAGCTATGCCAAGTACATCTAAATCTAATTTGCCAAAGAAAAAAGAAACAAAAACTAGAGATTCCGACAAACAAGAAAGTACTTCAGAGTCTGAATACGAAAATAAAAAGGAAACGGAAAAAGACAGTTCGGAGAGTTCAGATGATAATCCGCCACAGAGGACTTTACGCGGCGTACCTGGAATAAGGAGTGCTGGTAAATATTGGGATCCGAGATCCTCTACGTCATCAAGTGAAGATAGTGAATTAGAGTCTAAAACCAAGAATATCGCTACCGACAAAAAGAAAGTGTCCGCTAAACCCTCTGCTAAGTCAGATTCTGATAAACCACCTCCCAAAATGAAGAAAACAGCTGGCGTACCAGTTAAGAAGAAGCGTAACAGAAATGAAGTCGTTATGGATTTAAAAGATATGGTAGTACAGAAACGTATGGCAAGCTTAAACGCCACTGCTATTCTGGCCGCCAGTTACGAGAAACGATCTCCTAAATCAAGCAAAGACGACACGACATCAGACTCGTGCTCCGACGATTCTTTTTCACAGAAGCCAAAAAACGGATTAACTTCCGGCATAAAGTCGGAATTAAAAATAGAAGATACTAAAAAAGAATGCGAAGAATCGTCTGATAGGAATCAAAAGGTTGAAGTAATCGTGAACCAAGATACAGATGTAACGATCACCGGCGTATATTCAACACATCTTCATGAAGGATTCTGTACCGTATCGGGAATGCAATATCGTATATCTTCAACGAGCCACACTCAAACAACAGCCACCGCTAATTGCGAAAAGGTAAGGACTTTTATACTTACAACAAATGATTCATTACTTCAACATTTGTATTCAGATATCGTGTAATGAATCTAATAATATCCAATCTTGCCGTATTAATTTGGCCCATTAAGTATTAATATGTAGTTTAATATATTAATTTTGATAACAATCAACATTCGATTACATAACGCAGACACAGGTAAACGTAACATATCTCATTAAATCGCGGTAATGAACCAAGTTCTGCGTACACATCTTAACCCTAGTATATTATCGCTCGTCATATCAACGCGAACTTTGCACGAGGGAGAATACATTATTGTGATTTGTGTATTTATATCCGGATCGTGTGACTTACGCTTTTCACATATAGATTATACTTCAGTATTAAAAATTAAAATAATAGAACGCTGTGTAACTCAATTACTAAGTTTTATAAGGAATTATAGTACATATATTTAATCGTCGAAATTTTTTAGGAGGGCTGTTCCCGAGAAGATGGTTCTCGTTATACGCCTCTCTCTGCTCTGTCATCCATGCAGCCTCCCGCGGACCACTCACATCATCCACATCCAGGTAACATATTATATTATTAATATTTATAATACAATATTCATACTATAAAATCATGAAGTATCAATATTTATCACTAATTTTGTATAACATAACCAAAATGCAAAATAAACGATATAAATATTTTATTATCATTAATTTAATAGTATTGTTGGCTATCATACAAATTTATTCATAATTAAATTGACCGTCACCAAGTGGAGATCATAGTGTAGTAGATTATTATAAAGTTTTGTTCAATCACACTATTAAAATCGGTATCATCATGAATGGCCTGTGATGACTGTTTACTCAACTTTGAAACGGCTTAATTAAAATCACAATGATTATTCTACCGATAGAGATGTTGGTGGAAAGAACAATACACACGTACATATGAGAAGATACGAGCATTTATTTAAAGTGAAACAACCTAACACAAGCTGTACTGGAATAAATGTAATACTTATGCTATACACCATTCACATTCATATCTTTATGTTGGCAAATCGTGTACATCACAATAAAACTTTATCGTAACATCAAAAGGAAATGTTATATGTCTTGAGTTTAACATAGAGGATAGAAAAATAGTTTTTATAATACACTCTGTCAAAAACTTATTGAATCCCTACTAATATTATAAATGCGAAAGTAACTCTGTCTGTCTGTCTGTCTGTCTGTCTGTCTGTCTGTCGTCTGTTACTCTTTCACGCCTAAACCACTGAACTGATTTTAATGAAATTTGGTACTGAGATAGAGTTGACCTTGAGAAAGAACATAGGATAGTTTTTATCCCAGACTTTTGAAACGTTCTCTTGGAAACGCGATATAACCGAACTCCACGCGGGCGAAGCTGCGGGCGGAAAGCTAGTAAACAAATAAATATGTTGTTGGTTAAGAGTACTTCATTGTGAATTAAAAAAAACATAGGTTTTATCCTGAAAACTCTACGGGAACTCGACCATTCCGAAAACCCCGCAAGAACGGGAACTATGTGGGAAGAGCCAAAAATCTGTCGGAAGTCACTACTCCACGCGGACAGAGTCGCAGCAAAAGCTAGTGTATTATATATGTATAAATAACGATGCAGTACCTAGGTATACATGAAGTAATATAATGGACCAGAGATTTCATTAATTTATATTCATTATCACATTCAAACGAAATAATCTAGTATAGCTTTCAATTAATATCAAACAAGTTATGAAATACATAAATATTATTTAATAAATCCGTATGTGATGGAATAAAATAATGTCGATTCTGCGCGACTTAAACTCGCATACTTGTGGCTAACTAATACAATTAACTGTCTGGCAGTAAGCCAGACTTGTAGCTGACAATGTGGAGTCTTGGCCCCGAGAGGAACTTCCTGCAAATATCATAACACCTACTAACATTATTCTCTCATATTTTCCGCTAATTTCCTAACACTTGCTGCCAAACGACGTCAATACATATCTTTTTATTATCCGTCTCTTGTCATTTCTTTAGGATATAGCCACAAATCTTTTGATAATATAATTTCTTCTGTCTTTTTCTTGTATCATATTATAAGTATTTTATCGTTAATCTGAAACTGTCAAAACTTTTATATCATTAAAGCAATAAACAATGGTAGTGAAATTTTAAAATCTTTTCAACTTAAAAATATTTGTTGGCTATAAATTTTATATATTTCCGTGTAACCACAATGATTAAGTAAATGCATTAAATCTGAATGAAGCTCGATATTTAATTAATTTACTCCAACTTCACCACAATTTGCTTACAGTGTAAATAAAACACGGAGTAGGTACTAATTGGCTAAAAGCCAAGTATCCTCTGTGCTCTTAACACTAAAGGGTAGGTAATTATCTAAGCTACGAGTTGAACTAATATCATTGAAGACTTAATATTAATGGGAATTCTTAAATTTTGTTTGTAGTTTATGTATGATAGTTATGATGTCTTTGTGAATTATTATACTGAAAATTCGTTTATAGAATTTCGTATAATATAAATTGTTGTAAAATAGTTTTGGTGTTTATAATACTTTTAAAGGATTTTAATTAAATTCAAATTAAATATATCGATAGTTTTTAAAGTATTCTCAATATTTTATATATGTAGATAATATTTTTTTGTTAAATCGCGGCCCAATAGTATATTAATTAACGTAGGTACCTCTTACTTTACCTACTTACATATGTACAGTATTTGAATAATATATTTTTTTATTTTCATCGTTTATAAAACGTTAAATTAAATACGGATTAGTTTGTTGAAAGTCCATTCTTTATTCACGTTTAATAAAGTCATGGAGTTGATGTCTAAAATTGAATTTCAGACTCCATTTTCAACGCGAAAAGGTAATCCCTAATTGGTTAGTATGTTGTAAATAAGTTAACCTGAAATTCTAGCTTTGAGATGAAATGTCCGATTTAAAACACAGCGTGGAATGAAAACTCGTTGTTGCTAAGTCAATCAAAGCCTTAATAGAATCACGGAATGAGGCTGAACAGGATATGGAGTTTAGGAATAAAAAATATTTAAAAAAAATGACTCGTAGGATTGCATACTCTGGAATTATCTATCTTTCCTCTGTCTATCTAAATTTTGGCTCCTTTGAAATAATAACAAAATTTACTTAAGAATATTATATTTATTTCACAAATCTTTAAAATAAATCGTTAAGTAAATTTTCATCGTAACTTTTATCGTAACTCCAATCCGCTGAAGTTAAAGATTTTACAAACACAAACATTATTATTGTGAATCTATAATGAAAGAAAGAAACATGTTTCAAATGTAAAGCGGTGAAGTTATTGAAAAAGAAAGGAATGAAACGATCTTATACAGTCTAAGCGTGGCCTATTTGTTATCTCGCCGAGAAAAATCATCCCGGAGTCTTCCAGAAAACGGGCGCAAAGCAACAGAATACCGTCACAAAATTCGAAGTTGTGTTAATCATGAAATCCGAAAGCTATGCGACTTCGCTTTTTGTTCTTGTAAATGTTCTCCTAACTTGTTTATCATCATTATTATTTGAGTTTTATGAATTTAAATTACTTTAAAACATACCATTGTTTTCTCATTTAATAACCGAAATGATTGGAGATAAAACGTGTGCTATTATAAATTTTTTTGAACGGATATTGATTATTGTGGTACAGTAAGCCAATGAGCTTGAGGTATATTACTATTGTGAATAGTTTATATTTGTATACTTTATTTTTAGTTTCATTATGCTTTAAATACTATTTATATTTATCAAAAGAAAAGAGAGCGGTTTTGGTGTTTTATTTTTTTAGTAACAGAAAAGTCCAAACATTTTTCGCTGACGTACACATAAACTGTTTCTAAAAAACGTCGTAACTGACAACAAAGTTGATATTGTAACGGGCATGGCGATTTTACTGATTTATAGAAATTGTGTTAGCGAATTATTTTCATGAGGAATAGCTTTGCGAGATTGCGGTCTTTTGATGTTCATTTAAAGTTTGTACGTCAACCGTGGAGTTAGTGATTCAATCACTACACTATTTTAGATAAAAGTTGAACAAGAGACTGTTCGTTTATTGGCCACGTTTGTTTCACTGTGGAAAAAAGTTTACGTGGTGAATTGTAAAGTCTATAGTAATATAATAACTTGTATAAAATAGTATTTTACTCTCTGTCTTAGAATAAAGATACCTCAAACAAATGCGTCATAATAATATTAAAACAAGTAATAAAGACATAAATTCTTTTTATAACTCTATACAGTTGCAATTATTTTAATTCCATAATTTTTTTTAAGTCCTATTCATACGATAAATGAACTTATCAATAAAATTTTGCATAATTGGGAAATTGAAACATGGTATTTATAAATCACTTTCTTTTCTAATAAACATCATTCAGCAAGTCTTATAAAGTAATAATGATATAAATTATCCAAAATATCATAATATGAAAAATTCGTATGTGGTTTTATTTCGGTAGACAAAATATTTTTAATAACAGCTGAGACTAACCTTAAACCAACCGGAAAACAATTTCGCTTCCTTCCTTATATCCTTTCCTCTCTCAGTGCTGTTCAAACCTTATGAAACAATCTTTCACTCAATCTTCTTTGACTTAAAACTATATTCACTTACCGTTACGTCCAAAGATTATTTTTATATAAATTAAGCATGAAAAGTAAACTATAAACATAGTTCAAAATTTGTCGTCAATTTTAATACTTTATCAATTATTATTTATAGCCAAATCATGAATTTTAACTATTCATAACCATTTTTATTGCGTAGAAAATATTTTATATTTATTTACGTATGTTAAAACGATCGCTGTATTTCAATACTATATCATATTTGTTTCCATTCCAAACTAATCCTGACATCAATGCTTCATATGTTCATATTGTTTGTTAACATACATTTTTATAGTAAAATGTTATTTCAAAACAAAAAGCTTTCAGAAAATCTAACCACTAAATCTTTTTGGTTACTGAAAAGCGCTTCAAATTCAAATAAACTCATAAATTGGAAACATGTTTTTTAGCTCTATTTTAAAAAGTGGTTTTAGCAGCGACCATCAAATATTTATGCAATATCCGCAGCTTAAAGATCCGTGAGAGCTGTTCTGTTTGTATTTAATCAGCAATTATCTGGGACCGCAGTAGCTTATCAATAGCTAATATAGCTCGCTTGCGGTTTAATTAATACCTTGTTTTCATACACATGTGTTACGGCTCCAGTTGTCAAAATTCTAATTAACTATTATACCGTCAGTCTTTGAATATGGTTAGATTTTCGTAATAAGTTTTGAAACAGTTAAGGAATAAAATGACATTATAATTTGCATTTTTATTCTCTGTTTGATAATAAAAATATATTGCTAAAAAAAACAATGAAAAAATAATATTTGGTTTTAATCTTTTTTATTATTTAAATGAAACTAATTTTTTATCATGTTTTTCAATACAATAAACTTTTAATCACTTATAAATTATGATTTTCACACGCACTTGTTTAAACACATATTATTACGTATAATATTACTATTATGTACAACATAATAGTTACATACTATTGGTAAAATAATTGAGTAAAAATATTGAAGAAAACCTAATTTTCTTTTTAATTTCATGTACATTGTAAATCCGTTTTCATTAATGGAAGCGCATGTGATTCATGTTGCCACTATGAGTTGACTAATGTCAGAATTACTTTGTCTTTATCCACTTTGACTAATGTTACACTGGAATTCAAAAGGGATTTTACATAAAGCTCAAAACGTCTAGTCCGCCCAATTGGATGTCATAAACTTTGTTGACAAACTCGTAAGGATTTTATTAATAACTGTCTAGCGAGAGTAAGTTGAAAACATTATATATAAATAAATTTGTTCTCTATAATAACTAATTCTAAAGTAGATAATAGCAAACTTTTACCTTGTACAGTCAAGATTAAGATTTTTCTTAAAAACAAAAGTAAAACGGAATATATAATTTCATTAAAATAGTAAATAAGTTCTCAAAGATTAATAACAATCTTTTTGTAGTGTCATTATTCTAAAGAATCAAATACTCTGAATGATTCATAATATATTTTAATTGATCCTGATACGCATATGTAGGTAATAATTAATTTGAATGAATCTAAGGTTTTCGGATACTACGCATTTTTATCATTTTATGTCTATATACTCCCGATGTTTCGTTTCTTTTACAGCAAACGCGATCACAGGCAGACGAGATGAAAGAGACACTTCCATCTCATCAAAAAGTGTCTTGAAACGTCGGGTTTATATAGTTATACAGTATACAGTAATAAAATACGCCTCTACAGCTGACAAAATATATATAAATATATAAATAGTTGTAAAAATAAAGTTTCACACTGATATAATTAAATCAAGATAAACTCAGCCTATTTACCAAATGTATCTCGTTTTCATGACACACATGCAGCTGTATTTATTCAACAAATTATACAAGTAAATTTTACTGAAAAATTAAAAGTCATTATTAAATAAAATAAATAAAAAGCAATTCATTTTTATAACGACGTTGTCGCAACTCAAGTAGCTGCTACTTCATTATGCGCCGGCCTAGTATTTTGTGGTTTACTTGTTATATAACTGAATGCAGCCATAATACGAATTGTATTAATTATTTATACATACATTTGAAATTTATATATTACAGATATACATACGTATATAAGTCGATTAAATGAAAAATAATCATTACTATATAACTTGTATTTTTAGTTTTATAGGAAGTCTATATATAAATGGAGTTGCAGAAAAATTAATACGTTAAAAATAAACATAAACGTACATATGCAAAGAACATTTTAAAATTTTTATTTCCACGAAGTCGCAATAAACTGATTCAAACAACCAATTCGTTTCCTGATGGTCTTCTAGGAATAACGTTTTCATTTGAAAATTGTAAAACCGTAGAGAGCTCGACGTTTTACTTTTCCTGGTATTTATTTGAAATGTATCAATATTTGAATTATATCGTGTGTGTATGAATATTATGTTTTCTCGGTATTTCTATTGAAGAAATGTCTTTATTTATAGTTCCGGAACTTGGTGGGTTGGCGAGGCGGGCTGCTGGTTGTTCGAGTGCTTTCTCAGCGCCTTCACCGGCTGCTCATCATGACCCAGGTAGGTAAAAAATAAGAATTATCCTAGCATTTGATTAATAAACAACAAAGAACATTAAACTAACATATACACATAATGTGACTGCGGAATACAACAACTGTTAATATCCGATCTAAGCGCACGGTAGTGCGCCGGCCAAGTTCCACAGGCCGGCGCATGCCGTGCACTATATTTACACGAACCGTTTCGGCCCACTTTTGACCCCCCTGTAGCTCAGTGCCTATTGCAAGTACAGAGATAAAATTTTACCTACGTTATCATATACTAGAACTAAAGCAGTATGCCAAATTTCATAGATAAAGCTTCAGTAGATCCTGAAATATGACCCTGTGAAAATAGCAAATTTTGGCACTGACTCACTGACAGGTAATCAAAACCTCTAGGCCACTTCCCATTGTTTTAGCATTATGAAATTTGGTACACAGGTTGTGTGTTATATGTAGATTAACAAAAAATTAAGAAATTTAAGAAATCGGTCAAGCGTGAGTTGCCTCAATTCTAAATATCGATTTTTTAATAAATTCGACCCACTTTTGACCCCCTGTAGCTCAGTGTCTATTGCAAGTACAGAGATAAAATTGTACCTACGTAATCATATACTAGTCCTAAAGCAGTATGCCAAATTTCATAGATAAAGCTTCAGTAGATCCTGAAATATGACCCTGTGAAAATAGCTAATTTTGCCACTGACTCGCTGACAGGTAATCAAAACCTTTATATAGGCGCTCAGCTCAGCACAATAAAATACATAATAATGAAATATTAATAATTAATAATACGAGTACATCTATTAATCGGTGATAAATGAAACTAAAAAATAAAAAATAAATATAGTTTAAAAAAAAACTAAAAAACGAGCTCCAATGATGAAAGAAACCGCGTGGAAACTAATTTAACCTTTACAACCTTGGAAATCAATTTAATTTAAATTGTTTAAAATAAACAATAAATGGTATTATTGAAAAAAAAGCGTGGGACGCTTCTCAACAAGTGATATATGAAGCTCATCACGCTTTTTTTCACAAAAATACCATTTATTGTTTGTTAATTTATTTTTAAATTAATATTATTGTGAAAAAAGTGTGGGGCGCTTCTTAAGAACTGATATATATATATATATATATATATATATATATATATATATATATATATATATATATATATATATATATAAGGGATATAAAATATTGTCATGTATACATAATGCACACTGTATAACTTAATTAAATATTGCTTACCTAAAAAATCAGGTTTCTATTGTTATAAATTACTTTCGATTGATGGCGCTAGCGGTATAATTGAATCGCGATATTGTAAATTTGAACTTGGCAGGTTAATTTAATCATTTAAATTATATAATATTTAAATTATATAAATATAAATAATTATATAACTAAATAATAAATTAATGATACAATTAATGAAGTGTTACGTACAGCACAAAAACCTGCCAAGTTCAAATTGAGAAGTATTATAATTTTATATATTTTTAACCAAGCACCTACGTATTTTCACAACTATACCATATTTTAAGTTGGGTGTATGGTAAAGTGAATTTCGGTCAGATGGACCGTTGACGTGAATAAGGTGGCGGGTAGTGGCTGGATGTGGAAGGCAGAGGACTGGGTGTGGTGGCGAGTCTTGGGAATGGCAAATGTTTACCAGTGGATCATGCTGTTGATGAAGATGATTATGATCGATTTCAAAGTGCATCTAAACTTGGCATTAGATTGGATTTCACCCCTTTTTTAGGCAAACAATTAGCCGATTGGAACTTGGCCCCCTTTTTAACAGGCATGTTTTTGGTGAGATAGAATTTACAATGACATTTACAATACTACCCCAACTTTTATATTCTTGATATCTTAAATTTTCGTATGAAATAAATTAATTTTGCTCTATAATATATTAACTTATGAATCATTCAAAGTTATTAATGTTTCTCCACTTGATACGTTTATTTACTTCATACGAAAGTGCTAAGCTTTGCCATTTAACTTTTAGGATTTGGTAAACATTTCCTAAAACTATTTCGCTTTGTTTTCATGCTGAAAACCACTTGTATGAAATTTTATTCTAACTTATAAAGGATTATATTTAAACATAAATACATTTTTATTTTAACTGTTATATACGTTACAAAGTTAAAGTCTGTCCGTTTGTGTACTACGTCTTTTCGCTCTAAATACTGGAAAGATTTAGTAAAAAATTGGCAAACCTAAAGTTTTCATTTGAAGATGAGATATAGGCATATTTTTTGTGATAATACCAACGAGTTTTACGCAAAATAAACGAGAAAGTTGCAGACACGGTACTCCTCTGATATTATGATATTTGGCACAAATTCAGGTTGAAGTTAGAAGAAAATATATTCTTAATTTATGTGAAACATCCCAAAATCTACAAATAAATATCAACCATAGCTTTATCAAGGATAAAACTATGGTCTTATTTAAGCATTTAATAGGCACAAATTAGACAAAAAAACGGTAAAATAATTTAATAAATTTCCAACACTAATGGTGTTGTATCAAGATGAATTTTATTCTAAAACGGAAAGTAGAATTCCGAATGAAGTTATAGCGAGTCCAGATCTCTTTAATACGGCATTGTAACTTCTTTCAACTCAGCCGGCAGTCGGTTAAGTAATTAATTCTTTTGCTGAGACCTTTGAATAAATCACTTCACAGCCAACTCGAGCATTATGAGAGTTGTCTTTTAAAATTTAAATATCGCATTCAATCATTCATTATATCCTCACCTACATATTTGATGTTATACTTTTATTAAAACATCTAAACTTTTACGTCATGTTTACAATATAATTTATTAAATTAGATACAAAATATTGATGACAGCGAACAATAACTAAGAATAAGTTTATTTTTTATTGTTCATATAATATATAAAAAGAATTTCACATGTAAATATGTTCATAATATATTTAGTTATCAAAAAAACGTAAAATGTCCATACTACGAATTTTTTCATACAAACGATTTTAATAGTTTATTTATTCTTTAAGGAAACCTCCTTACACTATTAAGTTATAAAACAAAACAATTGAAAGATGGCGTATCCTGAAATAAGCAATTCTTTTCTAACTCCTCTAAAGCTATTTGGTATAAGCACGTTCCGTCGGTCCCGCTAAAGTACTACTGCAAACTTGTTTTGCACTTCGCTGTGTTAAAACTGAGAGTTAGTTCGTAAACGGAAATCTTTGCTCTCAACCCTGAATTAGCTGTCGGTCTTTGAGAACTATTTTAAATTACTTTGGAGAACATTATATATATGTATGTGTTGACGTTTTATGTTAAATAAAAAGGGAGCATTCGGCGTCAAGCATTTTTTTTAGTTAAAAATTCATGTTTAAATTTTGCAATAATGTTAAGAAAAACAAGCAGATTTTGGTGTAACTGTCCAAACGAATATTCCAAAAAAAAAAACAATAAGCTGATTTATTTTATGTGCTATAAATAAGTATATCCAGGTAAACTCCAAAGACACCCACCTTTAATCTGAACCAGAAATAAGCATATTAGTTCCTTATCCACAATAAATATTGTTATTAGTTTTTATGGTTCACTATACTGAGAGTCGTAAATTTAAACTTTCTAACTTCCACAAGTTTTGTATAATCCAATTCAAGGAGCTCGTTCCAGTAATAATGTTGTTTTAGATGAAATTATTATTATTTACTTACTTAAATATCTTAATTAAAATTTCAGGTATTTACTTTCAATGATTATATACATACATACATAAATATATAATATATATATTGAAATGGGACCAGGTATTTTGGCGCGAATTGGGAGAGGCCTATGTCTAGCAGTGGACCAAGATTGGCTAAATGAATTGAATATTGAAATGATATTTTATTAATAAATATTTCTATATCCATATACCTACCTACGTACCATTAATATTTTTCATTACAGTATTAAAATGATAACTTTTAAAAACTCTATCTTTATGATTGTTTGCTTGTATTACTTCATTACATTCCCACCGAGTTTAAAACAAATATGGAAACATTTCTAACATAAATAACAGCTTCATATTTAAAAGCATGTTATTAAGTTCATTATGCGTTTCCCAGTGTTCATGAAAAGAAATATCTCACTTAAGTACAGGCCGAGCAAATAAAAAAATATGAACATTAAATAAAATTCTATATAGAAAACTAATGTGGATACTTAAATAAACATCCGTTGAAAAATAAGATAAAAAAATAAACTCAATATGCAAAGGTTTTGCGAAAAATATAAAACGCGCACGTCCTGAATAAAAATAGAGAGGCCTATTATTAAGGCAATATTCTGTTACATGAACTGAATTTATTTGTCCGATGTTACGTTAGACCTCTTTTATGCTACAGTTAACTCAAATTAAATTATTAATATGGCTGAACGAGCTTATTTTCTTACCCAAATTGACTTTCTGAATGTTTAATACTTAGATGAGATCTCATTGTTATAGATAATATTATAATTGAAGATATGTATATCACGTAATTTAATAATACACAATTCATGTATCGTTGTATTAGTTTGAAGTTTAGATAATTTTTTCTCTACGTTGATAGTCGCATAAAGATGTTATGAAATTGTCCACAATAAATTCCAGTGAAGTCGAATGTGCCTAAGCGTTTGTATAACGGAGTTTCCTTAAGTCTCGTTTCCCTTATAGTAATTTGTCCTCATAAAATGGCAACCCTACTCGAGAGACGTAGTTTTATGACAAACAACAACTTATGAAAGTTTAATAAAACATACATTGTACACAAAATGATCACCATTATTGCATAGGCAGTGCATAAACACACACACACACATATATATATATATATATATGACATATGTATTCCTGATTGTTAAATAGACAGTTACTTTTTAAATCGTTTTCGGTTTTATAAAAATTCTATATTATCTAATGTATTATTCACTTGCTAAATAAAAAACTACAATTTTTATTCCCACAATTAGCAGAATACATTT